AGACAAGTTCCCCAGGTTGTCCTCATCGATCACGACGAGCTACCACTTAGAGCAAGATGGACTATTGTTGCTACTGCCTGCCTCCTATTTGCTATGTCCCTACTACTTGTTGGTGTTACTCTCAGGATGGCACCCATCATCGATGACATGGGTAAGTCCCATTATCCATTTTCAATTTCTTTTCATTATTTAACTGTCAATTAATAATGAGAATAAAATATTCGGTACTAATGCATTGTGAACAAATTGAACACTGAGAAAAAGTATTTTTCTTCCAATTCAATTAAATTTATTGTGTATCCAAGATAAAGTAATTTACCAACTTCTTCATTGGAAATATTAATTAGTTGATTGGTTGAAATTGGTTGAGATTTGAATATCTTTATCCACGGACTGGACAAATTTTTTGGGAAAAGTAGGAGCTGTCGATTTTTTTTTGGGTCGAACGAATGAAGTGAAGATTTATTGATTTATTGATTGTTTGGAAGGGAAATATTTTTTTTCTGCCGTTGGAATTATCTATTTTGGATATTTAGATAGAAATAGGTATGATAAATAGAGTGTAGAATTTTTTAGGTCTAGACTAAACAGTTTTCTTTTAGCTTCGATGTAGAATTTCAAATACGTAATGGCAGCATGGAATAAACATGAGAATTTTCCTTCATCACAGCGGTGATAAAATATCGTGGAATATTTGAATTGTGTGAAATGGCTCGCTGAATCGATTTTCTCGAATCATAAAGAGGGTTTGTTGGTCCCCGGGCAAGAGTCGGAAAGTCATAGTCGCTTCATCTCGCTCTTTGTCTCCATTTTTCGCGTTTTATTATTCGATTTGCCGCTCTAGAATCGCTCGACTGAATTATTTTGTACGAGACTTATTCCGTGTCATTCGATATCATTCGTATTTTCTCATATCGATGATAAAATAATCACGACAACGAATGGGTGAATGGAGGTAGTTATAAGGTCAGGTACAAATCCGAAATCCGTTCGGAGAAATTAATCCCTTAAGAAATAAATTACTGAGACCGAGTGAAATGTCAAGAGGCAAGTGAAAATAAATTGAGAAATATTTCGAGATATTTAAATTACGGAAAGAAAATGATCATGCAAGATTATGGAAAGAATATGATCATGCAGAAAATATTATTCCTGCAATTATTACTCCAATTGAATAATTTTTAAGCAATTCCGATTAATTTCGGATAATAATCATGATATTACTCTAGAGGATGATTATGTGGGATATGTCCTGGGATCATTCTTCATTTTCATTGGATGCGGACGCAATTGTTCCGGTGGAACTCTGAATTGTCATCGAGTCATTCCTCCAATGAACCCAATTGATTCCATCGAAATCATTCTTCCAATGAACCCAATTGCTTCCATCGAAATCATTCCTCCACTGAACCCAATTGTTCTGTTGGAACTCATGGAACCTCTGAACCCCTGATTCCAGGCCGAACAAGAGTTCGAACCGGAGAAAAAAATCAGTTCCCTCCAAGTTTCGAACCCGTGTCTTCCAGAAAACCTTTGATGGATTTTTTTGTTGATAATTATTGAGTTTATTCAAGATCATAACCAGAATAACTATTCTCTAGACCTATATGATTTCAGTGTTGGGTATTTTTGAAGGAGAGCTTCCCAGGGGGAGGGCAATTTACTTTACACATTTTGTGGAAATAGTATAACCATATATTGGAGCTCAGGGTCCTCGAGCCCGAGGGGTTGCGAGGTCGAGGGTGTCTTATTCACGTCACTCTAAATTAAAGACGCATGGCCTCTGAATCTTCAGTCTGCTGCCAGATCCCCGTCGACGTACACCCGCGTCACCGGAAGTTCATCAGTTTAAACTCTTTTTCCGTTTGCCCTTTATTTCCGAATTCGACTCCCAACTCTATCATGAATTAACAATGGTCTTGCATAATTGATAATTCCGGACTGGAGGCAGTAAAAATTCGTTCTTTCCTCATACTCGGTACATATTTTTATCTGAAAATTGTGCTCGTCGGAACACGTGATATTTAAGCACTGGATAATCAGGAATTGATTATACGAATGCATCCGAGCATTTAATCCTTTGAGTTCGGTTCGATAATTGTTACGACAATAATTACACAGTTGTGGAGTGATTCGGGGAGAAATTATTGAAAAGCTCGATTATCATGAATTTATTTGACGAAACGTTCAAGCCGTAATGACGAAGTAAAAAATCTATAATGGCATTAAAAATATCGAGCAATCCAACAAGAGTGTTAAGTGATTCTCTTACTATAACCGAAACAAATCCCGATGTTGAATTTTTATCGGTCATTTCATAGCGCAGATTATCATGTCAACACTTGATTTAGTTTTCAAAACAGGAAATTCTTGTAGTTCTTTGAATAAATGTTGGCTCACATCCAGACCCAAGTCTCATTCACCTAAAATTAATTCTGGACCAAATCAACAAGTTATACGAAATCCATGTGTTGGCACAGACGTGCCCCCAGGAAATAGTGTCAGACGCTGGGGGTCTGTCCCCCGGGGGGTAAAATAATTTATCCACCGGTAATTAGTTTCTTTTTTAAATTAATAATAAAAGTGCATGGATGACTTGTTGATCTAATGGGAAAGCTGACGTACCCCAGACCCCAACATCTCCATTATAAATATTTGGCTGAGTTTATTTATTGATGAGAGTTACGGGTTGGAGTATTGGCTGAGTGTTGCGATGATATCGGGGATGGGCTGATGGTTTGTACCATCTCAACTGGTCAGGCATATAGTTCTATACTAGAGCAGATATGCGGGGCTAAAAATACACGGGTAAACTCAGCACTGAGAAAAAAAATTTTACCAAGGATTCATTAACTTGAGAGACGTATATATTTTTATAAAAATGGTATTTCTTCAGGTAAGAGAGCTGTAGGTGATCTCTGCTAGGCAGTGATGATGATAAGGGATAATGATGAGTGATAATGATGTCCAAGCTGAACTCGGGGTCAGCTTGGAATCATCGGTTGAAGGGTTCCAATGGGAATGATTGGATTCTGTGGAGGAATGATTTTGATGGAATCATTGATTCAGGGATTCATAAGTTCAAACTGAACAATTGGGTTCATTGAAGGAATAATTTAAATAGAACAATTCATGGTTCCATCAGATTCTGTGTTCCATCAATTACGTGCGTTCGGTATTTAAAGAAAATTAATGATAATCAATGGATTATCCAAGGACATCTCCCATATAATTATCTTTTAAAGCAATATGATGATTATCATCGGAACCT